CTGAAGATTCATTCATCAAACAGTGTATCGACAGCTTTACTGATCTGAAGATTCATTCATCATCATCAAACAGTGTATCGACAGCTTTACTGATTATAAGGGGAGTTTTTTGAGAGCGCTTGAACTCACACTAGACTGAAGTCAATTATACCGTTCTTTGACAATGTAAATGTTCTTTGCTCGCTTTCTCTGTACAATTTATTCACTGTTTGAATAACTTTGTAAGGAACAGGCAATAAAAAAATTCATTCATTAATTCTCATCGTTCCACTCTCCTTCATAGCGTCATCAAGCTTCACCTTTGTTATTGTTTTGAAAATGCAGCTACTAGTGGCGAAAACTTACATATTGTGCCTTTAAACGGACAAACTATGGATGAAACCTGCTATGATTACCAAATTTGATTTAAACAATAGGCCTACATAATAATCACATTTGCAGTTCGTAGGGGACATATTGTATTAGCCCTACAGTTACAGCATGAAATACTATTTAAATCAGTAACATTCTATACAACATTTAGGCTACCCATTTTATCTCACAATTCTGACTTTTTTTCTTGCAAATGCAAGTTTATATCTCCTATTTCTGACTTTATAACTCGATTCAACCCCGTAATTGTGAGTTAGTCAATTCTGAGGAAGAAAAAGCCAGAAGTGTGGGATTATATACTGAGGGGGAAAAAGAGAGAATGACCAGGTGATTTTTCTCAGATATAATCTCGGAATGGCGAGGGAAAAAAAGTCAGAATTTAGAAAAATAAACTCAAAATAACCTTTTTTTTATTCTTTTATTCCACGACTTCCGTAGACTGCTACTTTAAAACTGTAATTTTCTGCCACCAGATAGGCTCCGCCCACAAAAAAAACGTCATCATGTGCTCTTTTCTGTCACATCCTTTTATTTTTTTATATTACCTGCGCACATAATTTCGCTGGCTTCTGCGGCAGATCACACTATAAATAAACGCATAATCGCTTACTTTGTCCTCCGTGTTTACTTGCGTATGACAGTGCGCTGCGCAAGTGTTGCCAAGTCCACCATTTTCCTGCGAAATTGGGCTACTTTTTCCACTGTTGCCGAGGGTTGTTTTTCAACTCAATTGGACTAGTTTTGAGAAGAAATTGGGCAGATTTTGTTGTGTAAACCTGGCAACCCTGTTCGTATTGTTCTTTTGTGCATGCGGGTCAGTTCAGAACCATGATCTGTTCACACTGGAAATCTGATATCAGCCACATTTAAAACAGAAATGTGAACAGCTATACAAAAAAATTGGATCTGAGCAAATATCTGAATTGAGAACTAAGGCTCACAGTGTGAACGCAATATTCTGATTTGCTGCTTAAAAAAAACAAACATTTATTATTATTATTATGATGATGTTGAAAACAGCGGAGTAGACATTTTTTCAGGTTTCTTTGATGAATAGAAAGTTCAGAAGAACAGCATTTATCTGAAATATAAATCTTATGTAA